ATTTGAGATGAATATGATGGGAGAATTGTCCTATTTTTTGGGGTTTAACATAAGGCAAATGGATGATAGAACTTTTTTTAATCAATCATAATACATTAAGTACATCTTAAAAAAATGAGAAATGGATAAAGACAAGCTAATAAACACTCCTATGAGCTCCAATGTTCAATTAGATAAAGACTTAAATGGAAAATTAGTTGATCAAAAGAAATATATAGGAATTATTGGATCTCTCCTTTACTTGACAGCTAGCAGACCTAATATAATATTTAGTGTTTACCTTTGTGCTAGACTTCAAGCTGATCCAAAGGAGTCCCACCATACTGTAGTTAAGAGAATCCTTATATATCTCTTAGGAACCTAAAAATTAGGAATTTGGTATCCAATGTATAACACTTCTTTTGAGATTATAGGATATTCTGATTCAAACTTTACTGGGTGTATGGTGGATAGAAAGAGCACCTCTGAAACATGTTAATTCATATGATAATCTTTAGTCTCCTAGTCTAACAGAAAATAAAACTCAGTTACACTTTCCACTATTGAAGCTGAATACATAGCTTTAGGAAGTTGTGTGGCCCAAGTCGTTTGGTTAAAGTAACATATTCAAGATTTAGGATTACTTGTAGGCACAATGTAAATTATATGTGATAACACTAGTGTCATCTGCATTTCTAAAAATCATATCCAACATTCTATAACCAAACACATTGATATAAGGCATCACTTTATTAGGGACCAAGTTACTAAAGGAGATATTGAGCTACACCATGTAGCAACTGAAAACCAACTAGCTCACATTTGTACTAATCCATTAGCCTTTGAAACTTTTAGCATCTTAAGGACCAGATTAGGTGTCATAAATATAAATGCATGAACTTGATGATTACTGAACTCTAAATTTTTTATTTTCTGATCTTTCTTTTATTTTTATTTGCATATTTGTTTTCATTTATGTGCTATTATTTTCTGAGTTTCATTTTTATATTTTTTTTCCTTTCAGTTTTTTTATTTGAGGTCGTCATAGATAATCTACATCATCCTGGACAATATGATCGAATTTTGGCTCAATAATTAGTATTCATCCTGGAGGATTCCATCTTTGTCCTTGATGATCCACGTGACAAAAATAATTTGACATTTTAAATTTGGTCGGTATGATTCATTATTGCCAATTATGTTGGACAATCCTCCTGTCTATCCTAGACAATCGAGCCAGTCAATAATTATATGGTATGAATCCTCGGGGTGATCATCTGTGACTAATCATCCGGGATGATACCTAATCATCTTGGATGATATGATCGCTTTTTTGACCAATCGTCTAGATGAATTATTGCTCCTGATTGTCCTAAACGATCTTATGATCGTCCTGGACAATTTCGTCGACCCTATATAAATAGATGATTTATATTGGCTTTTTCACTCCAAAATCCTTCAAATCCTTCTTTCTTTCAGTTTAAATATTCTCTATGGTTGGTGGCAAATGTTCTAGGATGCTAACTGGAAGTTTCTCGAGGGGAACTTTAGGCCCTCGCTTCTCTGAAGCAGCTAATCAGGCAGCTTACCTTCGGTATAAAACTCTAGGGATTATAACCTCAAAGATAGTCAATCCTCATACACTAACCTATTTGATATTATATATGTTCTCACATACTACCCTTAGCTTCATTCTGACCCTCGAATTCCCTTTCCATTCTAAACTTCTATATGAGTTTTTTGCCAGGCTTAGACTTAACTCTACCTACACTGCACTTTAATCATATGTCAACAAACGACCTGTAAAAATCACTTATTTGGACTACCATGAAATTCTTAAACTTTCCACCACTGGCAACAAGCTTCATGTCTTAGCTTTAGATCCTGATTTCAACTGGAGCCTTGTTAATTAGTATTTAAGACACACCAGTGTCACTTTCCATGATGGTGCCTCTAGTTCATTAGTCAAAGATGCTAGGACCATATAACATGTACTTTGAACTTCTCTAATTCCAAAAGTTGGTAACTATATTCACATTACTCCTCTACTCTCCATCACCACTTATTATGTAATGTCTCGTAGGGATTTCAATGATACTTATCTTCTATTATGATACATTGAACACTTGACTAGTATTAGAGATCCCGGACATAAGAGAAAACCAAATCTGGCCCTAGGATACATCATTGCCTATGTTCTTGAAATGAAGTATAACCTTCAGTATCCTATCCCACCAAACTATCGTTATGCCTTCTACACCAATAGCTCCTTCCATATCCTTCACAGCACTCATCTCCATTTGGGACACGAGGAGGCCGAGGGAGCAATGGAAGAATATATTCTTGAACCTGTTCCTATTCGCCAGCACTCACAACTAGATTAGTTGGTCGAGAGTTTTGATCAGTGGGAGGCCAGATTTGACTCTTACGTAGTTTCGCAAGAGAAGCATACAACAAATGTTTATCATTTTAATGCCTATGTAGCCCAACAATACCAGCAGCATGACCAGGATATGGCCTAGTTTAGGGAGCAGTTTGCTTCCATTTACAGTCTCTTTTAGCCAACACCAACACTTCCTTCACCTGATCAGGGTCCTTCTTACTTTTAGATTGTTTAAACCTTGCACACACACACTCGGGGGGAGAAATTTGGTTAGTTAGAGTTTTTTTTTTAATTATTATATCATACAAGACGATTTCAAATCATCCTAGATGATCAGTTAAAATAGAAATCCTAATTAGGACATCCTGTTAAGATGAGATAATTAACTAATCATACTGGATGATCCACATCATCCAGGACAATCCAGATCGTCTAGAACGATTAGTCACATGTATGAAATTTAGCTGCCAATCATATTTTAGGCATTTTTGAAATTGCAATTTTTGTCTAATCATCCCGAAAAATAGATATCATCCTGGAAGAAGCAAAACAATCATGCCTAAATTGATCTGATGATTAGGAGAGTAATTAATGTTAGATTGATCGATCATATCATCCGGGACGATCGTAGAATCGTACTAGATAATTTATAAGAAAAACCTTAGTTTCTCCTAAATCTCTTGGATGTCTCGAAATATCTGTTGAATGATAAAGTATTTTTTTAACTAGTCGTACAAGATGATCTCTACATCGTCCTGGATGATTAGTTATATTTCTATATCGTCCCGATTTATCTCTTGTATGTCTCAACTAGCTGCTGGACGATAATGTATTATTTTGAACTAATAGTACATGACGATGTACACATCATCTTGGACGATCAGGATAAATATTGTGTTCTAATCGTATAGGAAATCCATATCGTCCTAGCTAGAAGGGCTGATTTAAACTAATCATACATGACATCCTGGACGATCTTTAACGTCAAGTTAAAAATTAGGGTGTTTTAAGGCCTTCTATTTAAGCTATCTCAAATGCTGATGATAAAATCTTTTGTTATTGTCCTAACTTAAGAGAGCTTAGAGAAGGAGAAGGAGAGCTTGGGAGAGAGAGAGAGAATCTTGTGAGGGGGAGTTTGAGAGGTGTTCACAAAGGTTGTTCCAAGCAAGGATTCAGGCTGTCTTCTCCCATCGTCGTCCTTGGCTCCTTGGTGGCTCCAGGGAGGTCTTCATCAGCACTAGATCGAGGTTCTCTGCCTGATTCAGGAGGAAGTAAAAGAAGTTGGGGTTCTCTTCCTGCTTCAGGAGGAAGCAAAAAGAATCTAGGTTCTCTGCCTCACCTGGGTCGGTGAAAAAGATTTTATAAGGACTTTTCCGCCTTATTGTGGGAGTAAAAAAAGTGACACTACAATTTTAGTGCAATACCTAGAGGGGAGGCTCAGGAGGGTGGATGTATATCAGGTTGACCGAACCGCTATAAAAATCTTGTGTTCTTTCTGTTTTTATTTCTACACTTAATTTTCGCGTTATTTACTTTTGATTATTTGTGTGGTTGAAATATCATAACTCTGTCTCTGTGATATTGTTCTACTTACGCCTTGGGATAAAAGTAATTTGTTTTAAGAAAATATCAAAAATCTAAAAATGATTTTCCTAGTTTTAAGTATTTTTAAAACTACCAATTCACACCCTCCTCTTGATTAGCCTCGGATTTTTTCATAAGGACTTAACAACCCTAACAAACTTTAACATTTTTCCTAACTAGCATCACTTTTTGTTTAACCACATCCTTATTAGAAATTTGAATACCATGAATCTATTAAGTTCTCTGCTATATTCATTTATGCATGGAATGGTGCTCTTGGAAGGACTCCTTGAGCCTCTCTTAAAAACTCTCCTTCATCAATTCCAATTGGCTTGTAATTACCGATTCAGAAGGTGGGCAGTGATCCCATCCTTAGAATATAATGACTTATTTAAAACAAATGTGTATTCATATATAACTATCTCAAATTTTATTATTGCTGTTTTTAAAAAAAAAAAATTTATATAAATAAAATAAAAAAATTAATTCAAACAAAACCTAAATTTCCTAATATGAAATAATAATTAATATGGTCAAACAATAAACAATATAACCTTATCCTTACAAAGCTTAATAAAATTTTTTGAAATACCAATTGGTAAAATCTTTTCCCGACTACATTTTAAGTCCACCCTCCCTTGTCTTATGATCAATGTCCTCTCATTATCAATTTGTAAAATTTGAGAAAATTATGAATTTCAAATTTCAATATATATTCTAATCATTTTTTTTTAATCAGACTGCTCTCCCACAAAAGCTCAAATACAAGAGGAATGGAACATCAAGAATTTTTTTTTTTGGATCGAATATAAAAGAACAAAAAAGTGTCAATATCTTTATATCAATTGTATCAATATGAACTTCAAAATTAGTTTGTTTGCTTAGAGATTATTGCTGCATATAAAAGTTTTATTATACAAATCTCAATATAAATTTAATAATTTTCAAAATCTTCTTGATATAATATGCATCAGATATCCTGGCAAAAACTTTTTTTTCCCCTAAAAAATGCAAGAAAATTGGCACAAACATGAAAAGAAAAGAAAAACGGAAATAAAAAACCGAAATAATGTTTAAAAGTTTCATATAGCATAATCTTTAGTCCAGAAAATAAAAATAAAAACATGAAAAGCATTCAAAGTAGCTCAAGAAATGATGCCATTATTAAAAGAAAGGCAAGCTTAGTAGTAAATCTTTAAATGAGTCATACGGTCCAATAATCTAAAATATTAGAATTTTTTTTTTATTCGCGGTTGCAGCTCAAGCAACAATACTATCATTGAGTGACAGTCCAGCCAGCTGATTTGTGGGGTCTCCATGCGCATTAGCATTTTCCTTAAGGACCTCCATAGCCTCAAAAACCTTGGCCCTGAGAGCTTCAGGAGACTCTAGCAGATGCAGAACTTCAGTTTGATCCATTTCAAGAAGCATTCCAGTTACCTTTGCAACATTTTCATGTTCGATCTGATCCACCAAAGGATAAAGAATCTCCCCAAGGATCTGCAAGAAAAACATACAAAATACATAAATAAATAAATTAGTATAAGCAAGTATGGTGGTCTGCCACAGTTTTATTTGATTATATCTTTCTTGCCATGTTTCACAAATTTCATGGTTAAAAATATTATTTTATGATCACATCAGCTAAAGTGTAGTAATTATAAACAGCAAGTTGTCTTACTTTTTCAAAAAGAAAGGAGTCTATCATATTCATAACAGTTCTAAAAAAACTGCTTTTTTCATAACTTTTCTATAATTATTTTAATAGCTACCCCAAAGAGACCTAAAGATTCGTTTGGAGCAACTTTACCACAACTTTGCTTTTCTGATAGTAAACTACAAGCCTCTTTAACAACATTTTATTACTATTTTTTTTATGTTTTTGTGGCTAGAAGGTAATAGCTATAAGAAATTTATTGTCTTTTTCAAAAGGAAAAAAATTTATAATATTCATAATAATTTTTAAAAATCTCCTTTTCTGTAATAATTCTATAGCAACTTTTTCCTAAAATTTTACAAACATCCCCAATGAACACTAAGGGTTCATTTGAGGCGGCTATATATTTTTATAAAGATGGTTGTAAAGTAATTGTAAGCAAAATAATCCTTTAAAAAGCAATTGTGAATATTATATATATATATATATATATATTCAACAGTTGAACAATTGATTTTTTATAGCTACCACACATTAATAAATTTGGTTGTTAAAAGTAGCCTCCCATCATTAAAAAATAATAATAGCCAAATGAAAGTCTAGCAGCAATCTTAAAAGCGAAACAATGAAAATGCTGTTTCAAACGGACCCTAAGTTATAGAGAGAGAGAGAGAGCATACCCTCTTCTGCTCATATGGGGTTGAATTGGCAAGAGATGAAGGCATCGCATCAGCAGAAAATGGCTGTGGCATAATAGCATCCCTTGATGGCAAACCCCCCATGTCATAAGCAGATAGCATTCCAGCAGCAAAACCCGGCATCAGAACATCAGGAACATTTCGTCCAGGAGGATAGCGATAAGTACGTCCTCTAGGAAGCATCTGGCATTTATGGGCTCTCATTTAATATCAATGACTGTTGAGGGGGATTATCAATGTGAAAATACTCACCTGTTGATGCATCATTGGAACAGGATGTCGTGGTTGAGCAGGACCCATCCCAGCATATCTAACACCTGGTCTTTGAGCTTGCTGACCTTGTTGAGCCAATGGCATGAAGAAATTTGGCATTGGTGCTCCACCAGGTCTAATTCCAGGCACAAGAGGCTGTTGAAAGCCAAAACCATTCTGCAAGGAATATCAGTTTAACTTCATTCATTGATATCTAAAATTAACAGAACAGAGGGTTTACTTGAGGTCAAAATTACAGCGTGCTAATTAGGGAAACTAAAAAAAGAAAGCCATAGGCAGTATAAACACACGAGCTCACACGTTCCTTTTAAAAAAAAAAATTACAAACCGACTTTATAAGAAAAATAGATTATTTATATTGCAAATATTGTGAAGTTATTCCGAGTTAAATTTTATGTACCCAGTATCGCTTATTAGTTTTGAACTTTAAAATGAAGTGATGAAATATGAAAAATAAAATAAAATGTTGTCCTAAAAATAGATGGGGGTATGACATGTAAAGAATGCTAACAAAAATATTTTTGAAAGTAAGATGCAAGATCTAAAGATTTTAATTGTGCACGAGAAAATTAATAATATGTGAAAAAAAAAAACTAGTGATATTAAGAATGTTGTAAAGAATATGCTTGGAGTATCAAAAGGAAGAGTAAAAATAATTGGTGGAATCAAAATGTGCAAGAAAAGATAAAAAATAAAAAAGATTAGTTATAAAAATTATTTTGGATATAAAAAACTTTAAAAACTGTGAAAGATATAAAAGGGCTCGTAAAAAATCTAATAAAATAAGATGTGATGCAAAAAAAATAGTTTTTAATGATTTATATGATAGATTAAATACTGAGAAGGGTGAAAGATGTATGTATAAGTTAGCAAAACAAAGAGATATGAAAAATAAAGATTTAATTCAAATGAAGTGAATTAAGGATGAAGATATTAAAATAGGATATTCAATAAAGGTAGATGAGATGTTTAGATAAACTTTTTAACAAAAATTGTGAGAATACAATTGACTTTCATGACCTTAGCATCCTAAATGAAAATAGATATTTTTATTTTTATTCTCATATAACTAAAACTGGAGTTAGAGAGGTCTTAAAGAAAATAAAGTGTGAAAAAATGGTTGGACCTAATTATTTCAATAGAGGTGTGGAAATGCTTAGGAGATGAAGGAATTAATTGGCTTACAAAATTTTCAATATTATTCTCAAGACTAAAAAGAAGTCAAATGAGTGGAGAAGAAGTGTGTTGATTCTTATTCTTAAGAATAAAGTTGACACACAAAAGTGTAAATTATTGAGAAATTAAGTTAATGTGGCATATAAAAAAAAGGTTAATATGGTATAATTTAAAATTATGGGAGAGAGTTATTAAGCATAGGTTACGACGGGATACTAATGTCATACTTTTTATTGATGTCGGGTAGGTCTACTATGGAAGCTATACATTTATTGAGAGGTTTGATAGAGAATCATACAGAGAATAAAGAGGATCTATGATTTTCATTGATTTAGAAAAATCATATGATAAAGTTCCAAGAATAGTGCTCTGAAGAGTTCTAAAAAAGAAAATAGTTAATAATACTTACATTCAAGTCATTAAAGATATGTATATCGAAGCTGTTACTTGTGTTCAAAACAAGGTTATTTCCTATTTTAGTTGGATTGCATTAAAGATCAACTTTAAGCCCATATCTTTTTGCTTTAGTCATGGATGCTTTAATTAGACATTTACAAAAGGATGTACCCTAGTGTATGATTTTTACTTATAATATTCTTTTTGTTGAAAAGATTAGATAATTAGTTAAAAGAAAACCGGAATTATGGAGATCAACTTCAGATTTTAAATATTTTCATTTGAGTAGATCAAAAACCAAATACATAGTCTAATTTTACTAATAATACCTCTAGTGGGGGATTGTGACTTTGGGCGATCAAGCCATTAAAAAAAGTACACGTTTTAGAAATCTCGGGACTATAGTTCAAAGTGATGGTGAAAAAGTAGATTATTAGTAGAATTCAAGTTGGATAGTTAAAGTAGAAGAATGTGATAGGAAATACTTGAGTTCGCAAGTAACCATAAGGGTAATACTTTGAGTTCCTATTACCGATCGGTGAAAAAACAGTGAGAATAATGTGAAATCTGGGTGAAACAGCCCAAAACGATGTATTGCGGTAGGAAAATCAAAGCCAAACAATAATGAAAACAAGATATAAGAGATCCTCAATTCGAGAGGAGGATTGTCTCTCCCAAATCTCTAGACAAGAGAGCCTAGAGCCCAAATCGCCAAAGAACCTAATTGAGAACAAATCAAAACATAATCCCTCCCTAAACATCTCATGCTCTTTAATAAAAAAACTTTTCTAATCGACTTCCCTCCCAAGCCCTAGCCGCCACCTCCTTTTCAATTTAAATTCAATTGGACTAATGGGGCCCAACATGTGGGAGGGCAAGAAAAAGGGAGGAGGAAAACTTCTGCCGCCTGTAGACTTGAGCAGGCTGGCTGGGCCGGTTCAGGGTGATCCAGCCTAAGAATATCATCCTCCCAAAGAATCACCTTGTTCTCAAGGTGAAAACAAAGATAGTGATGTTTCACCCTCTCGTATGGCTCCCACGTGGCCTCGTAATCAGGAAGGTTCTTCCACTTGATCAATACTTCCTTAGTTTCATCTTCTTTCTGGCAGACCCCCATCAGCTCCAAGGGTTCCAGAACCACCTATAAATCCTCAGTAAGTGTCGCCGGTAACTCGGGGCAGGCTGTATAATCACCAATGGCCCTTCTCAACGGAGATATATGAAAAACCGGATGTATAGTCGCCGTTGGTGGTAGTTTCAGCCGTTATGTTATTGCTCTGACCTTCTCCAGCACTTCATAATGTCCAAAGTACCTTGGAACAAGCTTCTCATTCCTCCTGTTGGAGACTGTCTTCTGTTTGTATGGTCGGAGCTTCAAGAACACCCTCTCCCCCACTTCGAACTGGATGCCCTTCTTATGCCCATCAGGTTGTTTCTTCATAATCTATTGAGCTCTCAGAAGATGTCTCTTCAACTCCTCTAGCACTTTATCCCTCTCCTCCAAGTACCCTACTAAAGAAACTAGAGTACTGCTACTCCCAAAGTGCACTAAGTGGGGAGGATCCCGTCAGTACAACACCTTGAAAGGGATCATCTGAGAAACAGAATGAAAAGATGTGTTGTACCAGTACTCAGCCCATGTTAACCACTTGGCCAATAGCTTAGGAGTCTCTGACACAAAGTATCTCAGGTAAGTCTCCAAGCTCCTATTGACTACTTCTGTTTGGCCATCAATTTGTGGGTGGTAAGTTGTGCTCCTCTTCAAAATTATCCCCTGTAATCTGAATAACTCCATCCAAAAGTGGTTGAGGAACACCTTATCTCTATATGATACTATCACCTCTTGTACCTCATGCAATCTGACCACCTCTCTGATGAAAGCTGAAGCCAATGTCACCGAGGTGTAAGTGTGTCGGAGGGGGATGAAATGAGCATACTTGCTCAATTTATCTACCACCACTAAAATCATCATGAAACCTTCTGAACATGGTAGCCCATCTATGAAGTTCATAGATATCTCCTCTCATACTCATCCCAATAGAACCAACGGCTGTAGTAGTCCTCCTGGTGACATAGACGGGAATTTGTTCCTTTGATAGATCTCACATCTAACCACCATCTCTTCTACATCTTTATGCATCCTCTTCTAATAAAGCTCTAAAGCTAGCCTTCTGTATATCTTCTGCACTCCTAAATAGCCCCCAACAGTGCTTCCATGAAACTCCTGGAGTAAGTTTGGGATGTGGATTGAAGTCCGGGGCATCACAAATCTTTCCTGATATAGCAATCTACCCCCCTCCAATGAGCACTCTGGGTGGCTACCCTCTTCCCTCAGTAAATCTGCCCTGATCTTTCCCAGATCCTCAACCCTAACTTTCCTCTCTGATGGCCTCCCAATCTAGCATCAAAGGAATAGATAGTTCCACTGACTGCAGCTCCCCCATGCATCTGGACAAGGCATCTACCGTCTTGTTCTCCACTCTTAACTTATATTGAATTTCAAAATCATACCCCAGCAACTTGGACAGCCTCCTTTGATGCTCCCCTATCACCAACCGTTGTTATAGCAGGTATTCCAAGCTCCGCTGATCTGTCCTGATAATGAAATGCCTCCCTAGTAGGTAGGGCCGCCACTTTTGAATGGCCAAAATGATGGCCATTAACTCTTTCTCATAAACTAACTTCAGCTGGCTCTAGTGGTCCACACCTGGCTGAAATACGCAATGGGTCTATGACTCTGCATAAGCACAACACCCAACTCGTACCCAGACGCATCTATCTCCACTATGAAGATCTGAGTGAAATATGGCAAAGCTAGAATCGGCACCGTAGTTATAGCCTTCTTCAAGCTCTCAAATATTGATGTGGCCACCTCCTCCCATAGGAAATCATCCTTCTTCAACTGCTTAGTGAGTGGTCATGCTATGGTGTTGTATCCCTTTACAAACCATCTGTAGTAACCTATTAATCCTAGGAATCCACTCAGCTCCTTCAGATTTTTAGGCACTAGTCATTTCAGTATTGCCTCAATTTTGGACTGATCTACTATCATCCCTTCTTTTGATACAACATGGCCCAAGTACTCTACACTGGCATGTGCAAAGCAGCACTTCTTCAAATTGGTTCTCAGCTGGTGCTCCTACAACACCTCTAACACTCTTTTTAAATGCTCCCATTGATCATCTTTTGTCCTGCTGTAGACTATGATGTCATTGAAGAACACCAGTACAAATTATTTGAGATAAGATTTGAAAACCTTATTCATAAGTGCCTGGAAAGTGGTTGGAGCATTGGTGAGGCCAAAAGGCATCACCAAGAACTCATAGTGTCCCAGTCTTGAAGGCAGTCTTGGGCACATCCTCCTTCATTCGAATTTGATGGTATCATGATTTCATATATATCTTGCAGAAGATCATTGTTCCACTCAATTCTTCTAACAGCTCATCAATAAATGGTATTGGGAACTTGTCAGGTACAGAGTACTTGTTGAGCACCCTATAGTCCACACAAAATTGCCAGTTGTCATCTTTCTTCTTCACCAATAAAAATGGACTAGAGAAGGGACTACGACTAACACTAGGTCT